AGAGAAAGTGTGTGCATGTGTGTATGCGTGCATGTGTGCGTAGGTGCGTGTGTGTATCTGTGCGTGCCTGCGTGCGTGCGTGCGTGCGTGCGTGCGTGTGTGCGAGGGAGAGAGAGGCGCACAGATAGAGTGAGATAGAAAGAGAGTGCGAGCGGTTGTAAGACATGCAGTGTGACATCGTGCATAACAGAAGTTCCATCACAACACTCAAGGCGTAATGAGTATGGGGGGGAGGCACTTACCTTATGCCATCATTTGTCACCACGGAGGGATACCGTCTACACCGTGTAGGCTCTATATCATACTATCAGGAGTAAATAATAATAGATTCTCTTCTAAATCTATTATTATTCACTCCTGATACGGCAGATACACACATATAGTAGAGAATTTTCACTGAGAATATGCTTGCTTCACACTGCTGCCACGGAGATTCAGATACATTTCGGGGCAATTCAATGACAAGGACTCGCATTTTAGCGGCGTCTGGTTTTTTCCAGTCACATTAAAATGCAGCTATATTGCGTGAAATCTACAATCAAGTAAGATGCCACCCAGATGGATGCCCATGACAAAACAAATGGGTGATTTCTAGTGATTGCAATCAAAATTACTTAGGCAGCAGCTGAGACAAACAATTTATGACACACACACAGACAATAATTAACGGCAACAGCAACACACCCTTACCTTCAGTCATCACAGGGCTTCAGCCTCGGTACTATTAAACTATAAGATGCTAAATACTGCAATTTCTCGTCACGACCTGAGAGTGTGAGACAATGACAACAACTGGCGGTTTCCATGACTACTGCCTGTTACAGTGTCTTATGTGCTGTCTCCAAGATTACCCACATTGTCATTCGTCACGGTGACAATCTGCTGCAATGACGAGATACTGCCTGCACGCTCAGCCACGGACTCAGTTAGAGTTACTCTACCCAAAATCTATCGCACCGTCTAGGTAGTACTCGCACACCAACTGAACTAACAATATTAACATACTTAAATGTGCGTAATCCGTGTCCTAATTAATGAGCTACATTGCCGGGCTTTAATAAATCGAGCACTGTTGTCCCTGTTGCATGAGTGAGCTGGTTTTCCAATAGGGGAGTAAACAGGACAAACAAACCTTGGCAGTGCAGTGTTTCCACCCATCATCTCTGCTTGGCAGCGCTGTTACCGTGGCAATGACTTACGCTTCAATGAGGGTGTGGTGGCAACGGTATTTGACTGCTGCTAGTAGTTGGTAGTTATAGACGAACGCAGGGGGGAGAGGAGGAGCACGGGAGGTGAACGTACGTGTAGCGATGAGACGAACAATGGGAGAACGCACCACAACGAAGCGCTAGTAAACCTATAACTAGCGAACAGTGTAAAACACAGGGAACACGAGAGCGAATAAACAGGTGGATGTTAATTAACGACAGATCAACACGAGGGGTTAAAACAATCGGAAGTCTATATGCTCATGAGCAACAATCAGGTAAGCTTAGTACACGATAGCTCCAAGAAACGGTATTGCTAGGGTTAGAATACCGGTTGTATAGACGGATCGGATTGTATAGACAATCCGTCGCACAGCCTGGTCGGGCTAAGTACACGAGTACTCTATACGCAATACGTAATAAAGAGAGCTAGCCCTACTTAACCTGACCTAATATAAAGCGATGCACCAGGAGCGTACGTGCATTCGATTCATTGCAAACAAATCTTCATCGTTTCAATCACTAGGCTTGACTTTGAAATAAAAATCCGCCTGCTACCACTAGGCACATACACTGCATAGCAGAGGCAACAGACGTACATAAGATATAAGAGCACATATCTGTAGCGCAGACAGTAGTGCCAAACTGTAACAGATATACAAGTGCTTAGCTGTAGCAGACCTAAGGGGGTTTAGCTAGAGTAGACGTAGTAGTGCTTAGCTGTAAGAGTTGTACTGTAGATTGTTTAGCTAGAGCAGATAAACGGGAGCTTCGCTTTAGCAGGTAAACGGGGTGATACTCCTTTAGGAGTGTTCCCAACTTTAATGTCATTAATGGTCATAATAACATATATATGGTCATGGTCATATATTAGTTTGTGGTTTAATGTCATTTAGGTTAGGGTTAGGGTTAGGATTATCAATCATTAATCATTAATGATATCAAAGTTGGGAACACTCCTAATGGAGCGTTAGCCGGTAAACGAGTGTTTAGTTAAGCAGACTAGGGAATGATTAGCTGTAGCACACATAGCAGTACTTAGGAGAGACACTAGACGTACACGAGACATAGCAGTGCTTAGTAGAGGCACCAGGAGTAGCTGCGGCATAAGAATTCCTAAGTAAGCTGGTACCTTTTTGCTACGCTTTCCCTCGTTGAGTTTGTGGCTAGATATGCCCATCGCCTGGAGGATCTCTGCCATCTGCTTGGCGTTGATGCCACAGTTGTTTGCCACGTTTTTCTGACATCGCTTGTGAACGTTTAGCTTACATACTGGAAAGGGCAGGTGATAAATGGTAAGTGGCCATTACCTCGTGGAGACCTCACATCCGTCCCCATCAATACCACGACCATCAACGCTCCAGCTACAACCACACCACCACCACCATCATCACCATCAACATCATCATCATCACCATCAACATCATCATCACCATCATCATCATCACCACCATCATCATCATCATCACTATCAACATCATCACCACCATCACCATCATCATCCCCATCAACATCATCACCACCACCACCATCATCATCACCATCAACATTATCACCACCATCACCATCAACATCATCATCGTCGTCGTCGTCGTCGTCATTATCGTCTCCAACGCCGCCTGGAGATGGCGTTACCATCATCATATTAACCACTGCCACCATCACCTCCACCATCACCATCACCATCACCATCACCATCACCATCGACGGTCTATGGTGAGTAGTCTCATAAAGGTTTCTGTGATTGTACAATGCAAACACATTTTCACATTGCAGCATCTGCTGTATCAGCCCATACACGCACGCACGCATGCACTTCATGCATGCATACAAACACTTTCACACTGCTTGCCCTACTGTTTTATACTACTGATTGCCCTACTGCTTTATACTATTGCTTACCCTACTGCTTTATACTACTGCTTGCCCTACAGCTTGCCCGTACACACACGAATGCGCACGTACACAAACATGTACGTGCACACGCACGCACGCACGCACGCACGCACGCTCACACGCACGCACACACACACACACACAACACTACACACACAGTCACCATTACGCACACACACTCACCCACAAACACACACAGATCCCCCACATATGCACACACATGCACACACAGATCAGACAGACTCCCACCTTCACACTGCAGGCCCTGCCGTATCAGCCCGTATAGACACGAGCCACAGTGGTCACAGAAGGTTGGCCGACGATAGCTGTGCACAGAAAACCGGTGAGGGATATTCACACTAAACCTCGTTCCTCCCAACTGTAAGAAAACAAATAAATAACGAAATAACAAAGTGTGTACTACCTCCTTAGTCTAACAGGGCAACAATCTTAACCTTGTTCCTAGCAAATGTGAGATAATGTGACGAGCCCTTTTCCTCCAACTATAACAAAACAAGATTGTTTCTTCCCACTATATTGCTAACGTAAACTGGTTGCCCAACACCATAATAATGGTCAGTGCATAACAGCACGGTGAACATCTGAACCTCGCTCGACCACACACCTCACTCAACACCATTACTGAACATATATGTCAGGGCATGTTATCTTTCAAAGAACAGCCAGAATGTCAACGATGGGTGGGTTTGTCCACCTAGACCTCTCTCTACCAGACTTCCACGCTGTGATACGTACTTCATCTTCTGTCGTTGCCTTGCATCCCGGGCATTTGGTGACAACGTATTCATGACACCTTTTGTGAACCACACATGTACAAACTGCAATGGAACGATAAACATGAATGCGTACAGACGTTAGCACAAAGCGAATATGACTCAGCAGGCTTACACAATGTGAAGCTATGCAAACGTGCACAAAAACTACATTTACTACTGAGCAGAGCACATGGGTAATAGACAATCAATATTTAGTCCAGTTAATGTCCCATCAGAGTATGATGAATTGCGGCCATATGATGCCTCTAGAACTTCATGCATTTTCTAGATGTAGGATACGTTTGACCTTATGATAATCTATACAAAACAAAGATGAATACTTAGAAATGTTATGTAACCATGGGTACCTGAATATTATATACAGTGTATTACATATGCTTTATAACGTTGACCAGTAAAAACATTACATGTTCTGGCAGTATGTATCATTGACCTCTTAAGTAAGGCACCAGTCAGTACCTATTAAATACCAGAACCTGACATAGCTCTTGACATAAACATCTGCTTAACCTGTACGACATGTAACTATGACCTGGGCATGTTCCACGCCACAACATATTTCCACTTAAAGTGATTACGTCACCGTAAATAGTAAAAAATAAAAAAAATATTTCCACTTTATCACAAAATATAAGTAATTCTGTTCACTTTTTATGGTTTAATTGCTGCATTATACTTCCTATTTTACTATATTGTTCGATGTGAACATACACTCGTGACTCATACATCGCCCATAGCAAGCAATTAATGTCAGGAACACTAATATCAAATCCTCCAGGTTTTTTGGATTTTTAACTAGTTGAGAAACAATCTTATCAGGTAAGAATTTGACGATACGTTTAGTCCCGTCAGTTCTTAGTTTTAATGTAAAAAAATGGCAACAATTTTTTTTTACAAATTTTACCATAGAAAATTCGTGACGTAGTCAATTTAAAAACACTAATAGTGTACCTTGGCATTGATAACCTTGTTTTCCAAGACCCCTGTAAAATGGTAAAATTACAGATTAACCAGGCATTACAGCTGAAGACCTTTCACATATATGATGCTAGCCTAAATTTGTGTGTGCAGCGAGATAAACTCTTTAACGTTAAGGAAATGTCCTCGAAGACAGACATGATGCCATGTTTTTGCCTTCTTTGACTATATATAAAGAGAGAACGTACAATTGCCTGGGAGAAACACTGCAAGCACACACATGTGCGTGCACACGTACCCACATAGTATATAATGCGTGAACACAGACACATGCTTAACCATGCACGTATGTAATCATAGAAAGTGTTTACGTATAGTACTGGGCTAGAAGAAAGAAGTGGAAAAGGAGCGAGGGATGAAGGAAGGGAGAAAGTGTGTGTGCGCG